AAGGCTAAAATGGGGAATGCGAACGACCTCATCGGGTCGCTTCTGTTCCGTTTTGTTCTCATTTGACGCGGCATTTTATGTTCAAACGTCTTGTTATTTTCTTCTCCACTTTTTGCTATGTTTTTCCCCATTTTTTTCTCTTCTTTTGCCCACTTCTTGTTATTCTTTTCTCCATTTTTTGTTGCTACTTCTTTTCCCCCTATCTCCAAAATTTCCACAATTGGTTCCGTTACCATCGCACATGGTACCACCCCCGGTCGGTCATCAGCATCATGTGATGAATCGCCACGGTAAAACCCCCCCAAATGGTTGAACCTACCGGATGGTACTACTTGCATAAGAACGAGGCGGTACTTACGGGAATAAGAACAGTCGTCTCCTTCTTGTGGACTCCCCTCCATCGGAAAAAACTGTACCACGGACGGCCGCTTCTTCCTGATTAGCAATCAAATGGGGAAGCGAACACGGAGAGGGAAGAGGAGAATCACCTCGCTGAACGAGCTGTACGAACTGGAGTATGTAAAAAAAGAAAAAAAAAAAAAATTGAAACAATTGAGCTCGTTTAAAGTTAAGAAGAGTGACGAACCGGGTGTAGAGGCCAATAAAGAAAGAGACAAAAATGGAAAACAAATTAACCACTTGATACTTGAGGAGTATAAAAAATTGAAGGAACTCGAGGAGCCGACTCGAGAAAAGGGAAAAGAGACAGACGGAGAGGAAAGGAAAAATAAATCAGCCTATACAACCTTCTTGCAAATCTTAAAAAAAAAGGAACAGGAAAGGGGAAGCAATGGAGACACGAGTGATCACTTTAGGAAGAAATATTTAAATGGGCGACCCGCTTTAGCGGGTCCTTCCGAAGGGACCACCTCCGATGAAGAAGCAAACCGGGGAGACTCTCCTAACAAGGAGGAAGCCAAAGAAGCCACTTCAAAGCATCACATCAAAGAATCCAAAATAAGCGTGCCAAAAAATGTAGACGACTTGTACATGTCCTTTCTAATCAGAAGTGTGAAAAGTCAGAGGAGCCAACATAACCGAAGAAGGAGCTCCCCAATATGGGACAGCTCCCAACGTACGCACAAAACAACTGAGGGGAACAGCCCAACGGATGATTTCTCGATGAATAGAAGCAAAACACACATAGGAGAAACTTCCGAAGCAACCCAAGCGCACAACGAACAAGCTCCGGAAGGAACGAAGACACACCCCAATTACTGCTCCACCTATAAAGCCAAATGCATTTTCAAAAACTACATGAACGAGTCATACAAGTTGTCTGAAAACAAAATGGACTATTTCTTCACCTTCTGCCAAAATGTGGACGAGAATTTTCTGCAGAAATTTTGCTCAAAAAAAGTAAGCAAAGTGGGGAAAGGGGATAGAACCAAGCGAGACAGGAAAAGGGAAACCATCGAGGAGGCCTACGTGACGTCCAACTTGTTTTTGGAATCGAACATTTTTAGTGGCTCCAGGGGTGAGCGGCGTAGTGGGGAGCGGACTGAGGAACATACTGATGACAGCACAGACAACCACACCGACAAAAGCAGCCACAACGACAACCGCGCCGGCCCCGAGGGCGAACTCTTCTGCGACGTCGAAATCAGACCGCATTTCTTCTCCAGCTACCGGGAGAAAAACCACGTGCCGTATTACCTGCTCAACGTCCTAGACACGACCCCAAAGTGCTTCCTCCACAAAGGGAATCCCTACAACGTCTACGAGCCGATACTCCAGCGCGCGCAGAATTACCTTTCCGCCTTTGAGCACCCCCTAGGGTACTTCAACAAGGCTGTTTACAGATACCTGGAGGAGTACTACTGCGATGGTCTCAATCCAGTGGGCGCTCAGAAAAATGGTGAAAATTACAATAATGCAGGAGAAAACCCTATTATGGAAGGAGACAACCCCGTTATCGAAGAGGACTACCTCTATGCCTCCCCCCTCCGCGACGCACAGACCAGTGGCCGACTCAGGAAGGACAAAGAAAAAATACTAAACGTCGTGAATCTCATGCAGCACGACGAACTGAGGAGCTACTTCCACTACGTCAATTCGTATGTCGATGTCCTGTACTCAAACCAACACGTCCTTACCAGCCATTTTGTCAGACTCCTAAATAGTGTCCATCTGCTGACCCACTTAAAGAAACGGAGGAAGAGAAAAAAGTACATAAAAAAAAAAATCGAAAAATTGGAAAAGGAACAAGAGGTGGAAAAAGACAACGTCCAGGTGAAGGAAGAACTCTGTGATGAAAGTTTCGCAAGGCCAAAAATTCTAATCCTCTGTGGATTCAGACACATTGCAAAGGAGTACACTGATTTAATCATCCAAATGTTAACACCAACAGAGGTGAAAAATAAAAACCGATTTATTAACGAATATGATGTAACTGCTGAAGAGAAAAAATCCATCAAAGATGTCTTCCTAAAAAAGAGAAAACCCATTGATTATATAAATCTGTACAGTGGAAACAACGACGATTGTTTCAGGCTAGGAATTAAGCTGCTCGAGGATGAGAAGAAAATACAACTGTATAGCCCATTCTATGATAGCGACATTTTAATATCCTCCCCCCTCGGATTGGACGTCATGATTAAGGAGAGCCATGGAGAGGACGAGCAGAAAGTCGGACTTCCAAGTGACGACTCTTCCGACCGAGACGGATGGGGGTATGAAGAAAAGGGTACATCACAGAGTG